GACCCTCACCCTCCCTGCACTGCCACTGCCTCCCCCGGAGCAGAGGTCCGTGCCACTGTTGTTTTCGGCGAATCACCGGGCTCGCGCCTGTACACGTCGCCAGGGTCACGCGTGCGGCAGCCGGCAGGCAGATGATTGGCCTGCGCCGGCGCGCCACATGCCCACATGTGTATATGACGTCTCGTCGTCTCCGCTGCAAGCCATGCATGGAACACAAACAAATGATCATCAGCTAACTGATCACCGGCTCTCTTCTCGCTCTCGTGCTTCATCAGAGATGCTAGCTTCAATGCCAATGCTCTCCAAAAGTAATTAAACTGCACCAGTGACGTCGAGCGAAGAAAAAAAAATGGGAGGCTACAACACTATATGCGTGCTCAAGTAGTCTTCCTTCCAATGAGGCAATCATCCAGTTGCCATATCTCATCTCCTCTGAATCATCATATACAAACTGATACTGCACGTGGACAGGTGCCCTGACGGCCAACCTTTCTCCCTTGTATTTCCACGCCACGGCTGGCCGGTCCCTGTCGAGTCCACACTCCACAGCGTCGTCGACGCGAGCCGCCGGGCCATCGGAATCCGGATCCTGCGCGCGGCTGCGGGACACGTGTACCGTGTACTACGCGTTCTTCACGTCGTCGCCAGGGCCGTACGATGTGCAAGCCTCACCCAAGTGATGAAATCATGAAAAGCTCGATCAGCTCCCGATCGATTCCATCATCCACAAAGCAGAAGCAGCTCTTCTGTTTTTGTTTCTCTGAATGTGACTGAACCTTTGCGATTCTACTCCATTTCTACCTCAGTAGGACTATTTCGCAGGCAGCAAACACAGGCTGTGGTGCTGTTGGGAGTTGGGACATATTATTGCCTTTCGTGCACTCTTCTGCACGTAAACATCTCAAGATTCATGATTAGGAAACTTGACCCTAATTTTTCAGCTTTCAGGATTCATCCAAACTTAACACATGCGTAGCTCTCAAAGTCTGGAGCGATCGAGAAACCTAGCTACGCCTGCTACATATACTAGCTACTACTAGTAGTAGTATGTATGGTGCTCGTGCACAAGTCACAAGTGCATGCAGAGTGGGAGTGGCTCAGTGGCTGCAGGTAGACGACACCAACGGGGGACCTGTCCAAGTGGTTAGTCGTTAGCGAGTACCACTACATCCCTACACTATACGCATGCGTGCCGAAAAGGGTCAGAAAGACGGAGAACAAAGCCGGGCAAGGCGAAATCCGGCCGGACGGAATAAAGCAAGCGCTGGGCTTTGGATCAATGCATCATATGCATGCATGGCAGTAGTCTGTGCGAGGCAAAGAAGCAGCGTCAGAGAGCCTTCTTCTTTTTGTAGTAGTAGGACACTAGGACCTGAAGCTTTGCCAAAAGTCAAGGGAAGAAAGAACAGAGGACGTAGCACGCACGGGTTGTTTTTTCTTCTTCTTTCTTCCAGGTAGCTTCAGCAACCAAGGGATGGCTGCCGTGCGGTGCAGAGCCTCCATTTGGTACCTCAACTGCTTCATGCGGTACTTGGTTTGTTAGACTGTTACTTGCAGGTTCCTTCATTCTCCAGTCCGATCACACCAGGCCAGGTTTGGTTTCTCATGACCAAAATTTAGCTAATAAAATTAATGACTAAACTTTAGCCACCCCTGTTTAGTTCCAGTGACTAAAAGTGACTAAAAGCCATTAAAGCAGTTCAACAAAACCTAACTACCCCTAATGAATGTCCAAATCAGGATGGGAGACCAGCAATAATGAGGGGTAGCCCTTGTCCAATGGGCACTTTAGTCCACTTTTAACTACTCTTGTATGACTAATGTGACTAAACTGCTTTAATCCATTTTTAGTCAGTTTGTTTGGTAGTTTAGTAGCTAAAGTAACTAAAGTTTAGTAGCTAATTTTTTTTTAAGGAACGGGAGGGACCAGAGCCCCTACTGAAATTTATTAAAAAGAAAATTCGAAACAGTACAGCACAAAGATTACAACAAGAAGCCTAACTGAAGCCTAAACAGCAGTTTAAGAAACAAAGAAGGAGGTATAGAAAACTGAAAACACCACTGAGAGAAACCAGTCTATACAAGATTTGCTATCCATTGGTTAAACTTGGGAGAATAACTCTTCTTGGCTCTCAGCAGCAAAAGCTGAAGCTCCACTTCGAAATCAATCTTCATGTTTTGCAGAGTTGGGGCTATTTGACGAAAGATGGCAGTAGCTAAATTTTAGTAAAGGGTAACCAAACAGACCCCTACTTCAACATGAATAGAAAAAAGAAAGGAAAGATGCGCAGCGTCCGGAGTCAGATGTCTCTGGTTCTTTGCTTGCTTTGACAATCACAGCATCTCGCGAGAAAGTCCTCGACCACTTTGTTGACCTGGTGTAAAGTGTAAACAAACACACACAGCTGCTTCTGCTTCTGCTTCTGCTTCTGCAGGAAATTGAGTGGGTACGCACAACGCTAGCTGCAAGTTGTTCGTGGGAAAAAATTTAGCGTCTTGTGCGTGGACGCGTCTGGGTTGGGGAGGGGAGGGGCACCCAAGATTGTGGAGAAATAAATAATTCCGGTTGGTGAGAGAGAGGCGTCTGTTGGGGAGGAGTACAAGTGTCCCAATCGCCTGGTTGGTCCACCTACAGCCATTATCCGTCCGTCCCTCCACCTCGACTCATCCATCCATCCATCCTTCCTGCCATTGCCAAGCTCTCCCGGCCGGCCCCAACCAATCCTTCTTTTTTAGGGGTCAGTCAGCCCTCCTCCTCTTGCCGGGCTTCGACGCTACTCCATCTGTCCACTCCTTCTGGGCCTTTAGCCTCCCTCAGCACCTTGTCACGTCGGCCCACAGACAATTGGACACTGGATACTGGACACTTCTATCACGGCTGGCTGCTTGGTGCTTCCAGGCGTTTTCGCTGCAGCTTCCTCTCCTTATTGGCAGGTTACTGACAAGACCATTCGTGAACACATCACCGTGATCGGCTATCGGTACTGTTCGTTGACAGTCATGTTTCATAGCAAGAGAACCAGAGCCGGGCACTGAATCTTCATCTCTGACGCCTGCCTGACGGCAGAGTCAAAAGGCTATAGGGACGACGCTTCCTTCTCTTCCATCGCCGGGCAGGTGCAGCAGCTGAAAAACTTCGACTCGTTTCTGATGGTCGCTCAACTCAATCATGCGTTCGATCGTTAACACGAGTTGATTGCTGATGAGAGGCTTGCTCCCGTAGTTTTCCTGGTGGTCCAGTCCAGCTCGGTCCGGCGATGTCTCTCAAGACTGAAGGAGAAAGCTAGCCGATGCATGGGGCAATGGCCGCCATGGGATATTGTTAGTTGAGCACTGTGCTGTCGTCTGTGCTCTCCATCGCATCCAAACCCGCAAAGTACTACGGTGGTTACCTCAGACAGGCAGAAACCTAGCAGCTAACCCAGATAAACTCCATTTCCGTGTTGCCTTTCCAAGAGGAGGTCCGTGCCACTGCCATCCGACCGCGACGCCGGACCAGAACCAAGCAGACTTCAGACTTCAGAGCATAACCTTATTATTGTTAATGGTTATATGCCGTGGCGACTGACTATAGAGTTAGTGATTGGGGTTCAACTGCAGGTGCTTTCAGAGTCGGTTGTTCTGGGAGTAGCTGCGACAGTAAGTTTCACCCTAGCGTCAAGCAAAAGGATGCACATGAAGAAATGTCTGTGGTGGCTCCAAACACAGAACCTGTTTTTACTGCCTGCCAAGGCAGCTCTGATCTGATGAGGTACGTCTCTGGTGGCTCCAAACACAGAGAATCTGTTCTCTCTGCCTGCCGAGAGACGTCTGTGGCGGCTCCATACACAGAATCTGTTTTCTCTGCCTGCCGAGGCAACTCCGATCTGATGAGATATGTCTGTGGTGCCTCCAAATACACAATCTGTTTTTTCTGCCTGCAGCCGAGGCAACTCTGATCTGATGAGAGATATCTGCGGTGGCTCCAAATACAGAATCTGTTTTCTTTTTCTTTTCTTTTTTTTGAAAAATTAGCAGGAGCGCTGCTATATCATATAAGAAAAAGAGCAAATCGATGTTTTACAAACCGAGATTACATATAAGAAGATACACACAGACACAGGCACAGAAAACGAAGTAAAATCATTGGGATAGAACAAGACACCCGGTAGCTCTTGTGACGAGTCTAATTTCTTCTTTGATTAGGCTCAGCGCCTGTAGTGGCGATCGCATCGATCCTTCAAAGGTTCTTCGATTACGCTCTTTTCAAATGTTCCAGGTCGAGTACATGAGGATTGCTGCTGTTGTTCTCTGTTTCCCTGCGCCCTGTTTTCTCTACCTGCAGCCGAGGCAACTCTAATCTGAAGAATCCTTCCCCAATTCTGTGATTACCAATGCTGGCGTGTTGGATCCTCTTATTTTACGCCTTAATTACAAACTGGATATCACTTTACAAAGACAAGTCATGTGACAAAATATGCAGAAAGTTCAACATTGTCTTGGTATCCATATATCAATAAGCAATGAACAAACGTTTCTTGATTCTCTTATTGTGAAACAAGCCAATTCAGGGCAAAATCAGCCCTCCTTTTGAAGACACTAGGAAAGAATCTGGAACCAGAAGTGTTCTCATTTTACACCGTGCCCACATGGATGAAATGGGCGTCACAGGTCAGTAAATGTTTCGAATAGGTTAACTGCTAGCACACTACAGAAACAGCTCGGGTCGAGGTTTGACCAGCAAAAGGAGCAAAAATGAAAGGGCGTATTCTTATCAGTTGGAACAATGTGTTCGCTCCTACAAGGCCGTTGCTCTGATAAATATGTACACTCTCAGCTAAAGAGCCATGCCCGGATTCTCGCAGGCCAGTTCACCGTATTGCATCATGCCATCTCAAAAATTCGGCTACCTTTGATGGTTGATGACCTGGTGACATGGTTGTTGCAAATGGAATGATGTTGATGATCATCAACATATGCTGCAATAATCTTACGAGCCCAGCAAAAAATACATTTCTGTGTCACCGGATGTAGCTTCTAACAAATGATGTTCCCCCAATGCAACTTAAACTATCAGAACTCTGCAAGACAAACATGAACCAAGCTTAGGAAGCTATATGAGAAATGAGATAACATACACAATGGAATCATATTTTCAGATTGATTCAAGTACCTGGGACTTTGGAGAGGGGAACACGTTCCAAAACCGGAGTGTTTCGTCACCAGCACCAGTAACTATGGTCTGTTGATATCAACAGTGGAAAGGCAGTGAGAACAAATATGCTAGGTATATTAAACAGAACTCAGAAACAGATCACCAAGACTCACCTGGCCATCAGGGGAAATTGCTAAATACAATACTCTGTATGTATGCCCTGTCAAAGTGGCAAGCTGCAAATACCAAAGGGGAATGGAATTAATACAAGCAAGCAAGTATAGCATAATTTCAGAATAATAATCTTGCACCATACCTTCGACATTGTTGGATATCTCCAAACAATTATTTGGTTCTGAGAGTACCCGTGGGTGCTAACAAGCTCATTTACATTCTTTGACCACACAAGATTGCAGACCTGTCAAGAAATTTAGCATCCTTAGTATTTGAAAGCAAACAAGATGTCCAATCCTACCCTCCCCCAATTTTATACAAAAATTTGCCTGCCTTCACAGTGGTCTGAGAGGTCTGTGAATATCTCAAGCAGAATCAAAAGTGAAAGCAAATATGTCTAGGAGCTTTCTTCTTTTTGGTTGATTCCCTTTCTGTTTCTATTATTGATGCATTATATATATTTTTTCATTTTCACTTTCTTTTCCTTGGTGCTGCATGTTGTGGGCTTCAGCTCTAGCCTACCCCTACTTGCTTGGGACTAAAAGGCTTTGTTGTTGTCATTGTTGTGGTTTTCCTCTATTTGGATATTTCACAGTGCAACTTTGGCTTCTAGCATATATTGGTTAAAACTTAAATTTTAGTTGGCAATTTAAACCTCAAGCGTCAATGCTATGGAGTAATATTTTTCTTCATTTTCTTATAGTTACAAATGGACTAATGTGATATACTCTTCAGAAAATGATTGCAATTTTTGTAATAATGAGAAGAGAGAGAAACAGGGATTGCAGGTATTGACACATTGAAAACTACCTAGGTGCCAGTGTCCACACAGCTCAATGATTGCAATTTTTGTAATGATGAGATGAGACATAAACAAGGATTGCAGGTATTGACACATTGAAAACACTACCTGGCTTCCGGTGTCCACACAGCTCAACTGTGTATTTGTGGTCGTATTCCAAAACCGTATGCATCTATCTGCGGTTCCTCCACCAGATGCAAGCAGGCCATGGAGATGAGGTGACCAGGCAATAGCTTTGACAGCTGCTGTGTGCTCCGTATACTTCAGTACTGGTTGTACTGAATGTGGATTCCAAACAAAAAGCTGGACAAAGGGGAAATATTAGTATGGGAAAACAGCAATGTGGAATCCTAAGAACAATGCATTCCAAACTAACAGGAACATATGGACAGGCATCTTACTCTGTTATCATTGCCACCTGATGCAAGTTGACGATTGTCATAAGACCACTTGAGTCCACAAACCTGGAAGATATGTGAGATTAGGAATTCATGTGTTACCGAAATAGAAAACTGAAGCTTCACTAGGATAATGTATATACTTGCCAGATCATCAGAAATTTGATGCACTAATACATATAAAAAAGTCATATTATAAGGAGACATGAATAGATTACCTCAGATTTATGCCCGGTAAGCTTGCTAACATAATCTTCTTGAGCACGGATATCATGGTGGAGGATGCTCTTGTCACGGCTTCCAGAAGAAAGCAATGAAGAACTCCATGCAAGAGCACCTACACGCATGCGATGGCTTTCCATTGTTCTTATTCTTTTACAACGAGTTGCATCCCAGATCTACATAAGATAAAATGTAACATGATAATCAGATTTGCAGATACTCATAAAGTAACAATTCTACATACCAATGCAGAATGCTCATTTGACTTTTTCTACAAATTTATAAATCAATTCCCTACAGGAATAAGGGCGGTTCTAAATCAAGAGTAAAACCGGATAAAATTGATTCGAGTTTGAGGTTTGAGCATATAGAAGAATGGCATTTACAATTGTTAAGGTTTTCCATAAAAAGTATAAAACAATTAAGGTTTTACACAGAAGGTTTTTGTGTCAATCGAAAGGATAGACTACCATAATTAACCAATCAATATACTAAGGGCTAAAAGGTACATTGTCTGCACCTGAGCTGGTTTTGCAAAATTGTCAAATTTATTCCATGTGCTGCATACAGCTGTAATTCTTGATGATACATTGCACTAAAAGGGATTTAGATATCATCCAACACTTGATGGATTGTGAACATATCATCTAACTATATTCAAGGTAAGAATGGGACATAACCTGAACTTTTCCTTGATTTGTGCCTACAGCTAGGTGAGTGCCAAGGCGCGCCCACCCCACAGAACAAACATTGTCATCCACCCCAAATCACAAAGCTTGGTGACCTATACAATGATAAATCTGTTAACAATACATCTTCAATTCTCAGTGATGATGATATACCTTAAGGATGACCACGGTTGCTTACCTTGCTGCTGCATGCATTCCACAAGTAAACGCAATTGCCCAACCCAACAGCGAGGACATTATGTGAAGACCAATCGACGAGGTTGAGGTAGAAGTCATCCTGCAAAGCGGGCGCATCCAGCACCTACAAGGAACAGCAAGAAAATTAGCGCAAAGACACAAAATTGTTGGCACAAAGACTACAAATTTCGCATTATGTTCGTGAAAAAAAAACGTCTCTTTCAGCATTTCGGAATGCAATTGGCGAGATGTCAAATCTTTCACGCCCCCAAGAAGCAGCAGAGGCTAGCTCAAGAAACAGAACCCAAGAAACCTAAATCAGGAAACAGAGAAGGCCCAATCAAGAAAGCACCAAATCCAATTCCCCTTCTCACCTTGTAGGGCGACCTTGGAACCTTCCTTGGGCCCGCGCCCCTCGTGGTGAAAATGCCGGGGAACAGCGCGTCCTCCTCTTCCTCTCCCGAAAAAAGAGCCCTCTTGGCGCTCCGGCGCACCTCCGTCTTGAATCTGAAGATGTTCCCGGTGGCGGGGGTGCCCACAGGCGACGGCCCCGGGGAGGAGGACGACGAGCACGCGGTGGCCGAGGACGCGACCCGGTCGGGCGTGTCGGGCCCAAAGAGCGCGGCGCGGAGGAGCGCGCAGTAGGGCGACGCGGCGGGCGCAGATCCGGACGAGGCCGCGGGGCAGCCTTCGTGGGAGGATGCGGCGGAGGGCGAGGGGGCGAGGTCGAAGAGCGCGAGGTTGGATCCGGTGCGGCTGGGGATGAAGCGGTCGCTATAGATGGTGCGGGAGGCCGGCGTCGGGGCGGACGCCTGCGCTGACGCGTGCGGCGGCGTGGCGGAGTGGCGGGAGGACGGCGCCGAGGCGAGGCGCGAGTTGGGCGTGGACGCCGGCGTCGGCGGCTTCGAGGACGGCCCCGCCGCGGAGTTCTCCATCGGCGACGGCGGCGTCGGCGTGAGGTGGTGATCCATGGGCGGGGGTCGTGGAGAATGGGAATTGGGGATCGGGGGGGATGCGGTGCGACTGTGCGAGTGCGACGGGGTGGGTGGATAACTAAGGCTTGCTTCCGTTCGCGCCCCCGCGCTTTCTCTCTCTCCTCGTCCTCCTCTTCCTCGCCTCGGCCTCGGGGAGTTATTTCTACTACTCGCTTTTTTTACTCCATCCACCCTTGGCTTTCTCTTTTATTCCGGGAACGAGCCTTGCTTTTGTTTCGCCTCATGGATCGTCTCCCTTCCGTTTTTGTTCTTTTGTTAGTTGAGAATTTATAGGGGTTTTTAATCCGATCCTAATGATAGCTGCTGCTTGCGTCCACAGGCTTACACGTGCCGCAGATCTTCTCCTCGCTGCACCAAGTGGTACCGCTGGTACTGACACCAAGGAGTCGCCGCTTCGTCGCATCGCTGGATGTTGCATTTTCCACACGCATTAAGAAACACATCGAATCGAACAGGAAAGAAAAGCCAAAGGCATCTTATGCGCTAATCCAAAGAGTCTCTATAAACATGTTTAGATCTAATGCGGGACCCTTTTTTTCCCTAATTTTCGTGTTTTCCTATATAAGCCATTTCATTAATATTCTCTTTATTATGTATATCTCTTTCGTGAATCTAACAAACTCTCTAAACAAAAGTGTGAGAATGATAGTTTTCTCTCTTTCGGGACTTTAACAAATGCTCTGTTCATTTGGCTGATAAGTCATGGCTGAAATTACCGTAGGCTGATTTGTTGTGAGAGAAAAATACTGCTCGTTGGCTGAAAAAAGTATAAACTTTTATAAGCCAAGGAAACATGGCGAAACTCTCCAAACAAATTTTGTTCTATCCCGTTCAATAAGTTATCATAATCTTTATTGTATACAAATATATAAAAGAACTATCATATATTGAATATATTGAATTTAGAGAGCTCGCAACCTCTTCATTAATGAAGAGCGAGAAGGATAGTTTTACTACCTTCGTTCCAAACTATAAGTCACTTTGACTTTTTTGATTCATCTATTTTGCTATGTATCTAGATATATTATTATATCTATATACATAGCAAAATAGATGTACCAATAAAGTCAAAGCAACTTATAATTTGAAACGGATTAAGTACATGGTAGCGAAAGACAGTGAGTGGTCTAGAGAATCTATTCCAAACTTTTTTAAACACTAGATATATACCCGTGCGTTGCACGGGGTAACGAATTTGTATCTATGTGTACAATGATACACATGTCTTATGGTTTAGACGAACATATTAACAAATTTTTATCCATGTCTACGACGATGCACATGGCATGTTGTTTCGACGCACATATTAAGAAATATACAAATTTGATTACATAAAGCATGTTTTATAATCTTTATGACCTATATCGCGTGTAGATTTGGTTTATAGAAACCTAAAAAATTGGTTTTATTTTTAAATTATTTTGTGTGTTTTTATTATTTTATATTTTAAAAAATTAATAAAAATCTAATAAATACTTTTATATTTGGACCATAAACTATTTCTAAATTTTTCAGGTTTTCCTTCTTCTATGTGGACGTGGTAGACTAATGGGTCACATTGTTACATGCAGGCATCAAGCGAATCACTACATAACGGACTCGTCTGTTACGTGCGATTAGGAGGTGCATCCGTTTGTCTCACGGCACATTGTTCCTTCGTTCCTGCTCTCGTAGGAGGGCGAACGGGTTGTAGACGCGTGACCACACCCGCACGAGGTGAGCGGGGCGCAGACGCGCAGGCACACACGCACGGGCATGCATGCACTGACGGGCAAGCGGGGCAAGCGTTTGTAGTTGCTCACCGCCGCCAGCATAGGCTGGAGTTAGGGCGCGCATGCGTGGGCGAAGCGGAGCACACGACGAGGCACGTCGTAGAGCGAGGCGAGTGCCACGGCCGCCGCAAGCACATACTGGCATCACGTCGCCCGCGTCCATGACGAGACACGTGCTCCGCCGCCGTCAACGCAGGCTGGAGCTAGGGCGCGCGTGGGGTGTGATTTGTTTGCGGGTAGGTGGGGCTCGACACGGACCCATGCGAGCGGTGCGACGCGGGAGCATACGGGGTTCACGTACCGGACTCGCCATTAAGCTGGGGCGGAGCCAATAATACTTGGCATCCGGACGACACGGACTCTCGGATAGGGACCCATGCGGGCGAGGTGATGCGGGAGCCACAGATTAAGCTAGGCGAAGCGAATTATCTTGACGTCTGTGAAAGGACCGAGGATGCCGCATAAAGGGGGGGGTGAATAGGCGTTTCTAAAAATTCAACCCTTTAAAATGCGAAAACGATTAGTGTTAGAGTTTTCAAGCTTGAAAACTCCTAATCGGAGAAATAAACCCCTCACGAGTAAGCCAACAGGGTAAACAAGGTATATTGAATATGTATACAAGATACAACCCTGCAACCACAGAGTTAGAACAGAGAATGAATAATTTCAGCACAGGTAGAAAATACCGGACATGTCCGATATACACGGGCTGTGCAAGTCAGCTCCCCTCTTCTTCCCTTTCAATCTCTTATTTTCACTTAGTTGCTAATACCTTTAGGTAACCTATCTATAAGCTCAAGCAACACACAAGATCACGAATGACAAATATAGAGAGAGAGATCGAGACACGCGATATGTTTTACCGAAGTTCGGCCTCCGTCGAGACCTACTCTCCGTTGAGGGGGTTGCGAGCGACCCAGCGGAGGTCAGCTCTAGAGGACTACGAAGGCCACTCTAGCCGGAGTCTTTTCCAACTCCTTTTCCTCCTTCCACTAGCTTGATTCCTTCCCTTGCGGCGGTGGAATCGAACCGTTACAAACTCTTTTTTTTTGCTGTGATTATTTTTTTACCGTAGAAGAAGGGCGGGGGCGGAGGGACGGCAGACGATACTCTTTGTTACTTTTTAGGTGGTAGTAGAATTGTGATTAAAAAGCTATATGGTAAATCTTTTGGGATGCTTTCAATATAGAAAGTCCCTTAGAGATGTTCTAAGAATTCCTTAGTCATGTCTGTCTCCCCGACCACCTTTATTACTGATTGTTGGCATGTGGCTATGACAACCAAATCACACGTCCGATACAAAGGGACGGGTCATTCGCCGCAACTAGCTCCTCGCATGCGGGTCCACATGTCCTTGACTCTAGCCTCCAAGTGTGTCGTCCAACAAGCGTCTAATTTCCTAGTGTGCCACGTGTCAACCATCAACATTAGTGGCTTATGGGAGGGGTTTGGATCCTATGTCCACCTAATTTTCTTTCGTGAGTTTGACCCTACTACATACAACTTTATCAAATTGTGCCAACTATATAGACCTCCGCTTCTTAAGTTTTCTTTTACATTCGGCCTTTTTGTTCGTCCTCTAATATCTTCATGGGCATAAATCACGTATGAAAACTAAAGATGCGATGTGGGTTGTCCGTGAACCCATAAATAAGTTTAATTTTACAAGATATATAGGTAACTCTTAAAATTAATGAAGCCTATTTACGGGTTAAGGGCAGTCCCAATGCTATAAACTACATGTAGTTTCTATACCTATTAATCTGTATAGACACTATATATAGAAACCATGGTCCCAATGGATAGTTTCTATAGAATAATTTTTTTATCCAATCACATACATTCTCTCTTCACTCTATACCAATCACATCCCTCTATGTCTTGGTTCTCGTATAGACATAGTTTCTAACTTAGACCTGATTTCTATGGTTTTTGCTCTCTCTCTATTCAATAACTACCTTGCCACATCAACAAAACGTTTAAGTGACAGTACAATTAATGTCCATAGAAACTATGATGATTCCTACATTAGGAGTGCCCTAATGAGTCCTGCGTCCCTAAGAAAACTCTGGGTTTGGCCCGACACATGCAGCTGACGCCTCGCAATGCAACCTGCCAGGCAGGTGTTTCCAGGTCGTGCGGGTAGTGTGAGCGTGCACTTGAGAGCGCGACGATGTATGTCGCAAGCATAGATCGAATGCTCTATGTATCCTGGCGTTGCATATTATATTAAGACAACTAAATAACAGACAATTAATGCAGTTCTTTTTATGCATCCTGTCATTGCAGATTAAGACAACTAAATAATAATGATCTGTATCACACCAGCCTGACTAGAGGAGGCATGGCTGATGCAGGCTACATGTAGAAGGAAAACAAACAGGATCCGTCTCCATACTTCATCAAGCGTAGTGGGGCGGACCGAGTGGGCTCTCGCGGGCGGTTGCATATTTGCTTCCAGCATCCCTACATAAAAGAGACCGAAACAAAAAAAGAAAGTTTGCATAGCAAGCATAGCGGCATGATGGCATCTTCACAGATGGGGAACATATCACGAAACGCGAATACTAGTAGTATATATAATTGCGTACAGCTTGCAGATCTTGACCCCTTTCCATTTCTCTTTGCAATTGTCGCACACACTTGCTCAGATCTTGATCGTCGCAGCGCAGCTGCCAAGAGATGTGAATCGTGATCCCGTCAGCTTCGCTTCTAGAAACCCACGGCACGCACCCTGTTTGTTTGGACTGGTTTGGCTTATAAGCAAGACTGAAAGTACTGCTAGCTGATTTGGCGTGAGAGAAAAATACTATTTATTGACTGATAATCCATAGCTTATAAGCTAAATACGATGACGACGATCTGCTAGTGCTACTAGCCCGGCCGGCCTGTGCGGTGACCACTCACTCCTCCAGTCTTCAGCGGCACGGCACAGCTAGCGCCAAGGCTCCGCGACGCCGTCCGGACGGACCCGCCTGGCGCCTGCTGTTGGTGGACGTGCCGCCGAGTAGGGACGGGACGGGACGGGAGTACGGGGACGCACGGGGCGCCAGTTGCCAAGACTGTTGGCGCGTGGGCCGGCGGACGCGGACGCCGACGCGACGCACGGATGGGGAGAACCTGAGGCGGGCCCGCACGACGCACCGAGCTAGCTGCACCCGACGTGGACGCGTCGCGCCGCTGCAAATGGCGCCACAGCGCGGGCCGGACGCCACGGACGTCGATCGGGAACCCGATGGACGGACGGGCACGGGACAACAGATACGATAGCTAGTACCTAGCATAGCAAGATCCACACATCACATGGCCCGTGTTCAATTGACTTTCTTTACCTGGCGAAATGACATGCATGGATGGATGCTCGTCACTTGCAGCAGGGAACATTCCCGGGTTTTCACAGGGCACAGGCACTGCCTGTGCAGCGTGCTGACTGCTGAGCCTGACAGATCGGGGCATCGGGCGCTGTGGTCTTGGTGGGAAGTTGCGGATATTTCACTTGATTCCGCAAGCAAGGAAGGAAGCAAGAACATGGGGTGTACTGGAGCGTGGCGTTGCGGCGTGCAGGTCCATCCATCCATCCATCTCCCGACCACCGATCGATGGATGGATCGCGTCGCGTCGCGTCGTCCCGGCCGCGTGTGGGAGGCATAAATATAAACACGTCAGTCACGGGCATCTCGCTTCCTTCCCACATGATCTTGTCAGGAACCTCTAAGCCTGCCTGCCGCTGGTCGCTGACGGTGCCGGTGCCGGGCATTGAGTTGGTGGTTCTGACTCAGCCCCAGCCACCAGAAAAAATGATGGGCCAATCGCGTACTGCATGTGCAGTTTACTTTCATCGACTAGTACTGTTGTACCTGCGGTCCTCTGCTGTCTGTAAACATGTCTTCCGTTATTCTTCTTGTGTAAAAAGATATGCAAAGGGGGAGTGTGCTTACTCAGTACACGACACTTTATACCGTGTGACGTGTCTTCTTCCGGCCGGCCCCTGAGAACGCCGGCGAGCTTCCACCGCCGCCGCCACCGCCTCCTGGTCCTAGCTCCTAGGCACGCACGCCTGGCCATCCAAATGGGCCAGCAACAGCGAGCAGCGCAGCACATCGCTCTGTCGTGGGTCATCACTCATCAAATGACCGTGACCCGCTCGTGCCGTCGAACGAGGGTTGCCGGCCGTGCACTCCAGCATTATGATGTGCCGAGTCGTCGTCGCGCACCTTTGTTTCTTTGCTCAGATCGGGCAAACGCAATGATGCCCAACAGGTCACAAACGTACATACAAACTTCAAGGAGCAATTCGGCCGGCAGCAGCACAGGTGTGAAGTGTCCCAGGTTGGCGTCCCCTGCAGACGAGTACGGTACAATGAGATTGTCGAGAGCTGTTACAGGACGTCAGCCGTCGGCGATGATCGCCGGAGGAGAGCAGGGTGGCGACCGACAAGGCAGGCCTTCTCCGCTTGGACCAGAGAACGCTCCTGCAGTCCTAGTGAACTGAAAGCCGGTCAGGTTGGAATGGATCCTGCCGCGCTCTGTTCGTTTGAACTTATCAGCCCAATTTATAATCCATGATATAGTGTTTTTCTCTCACAACAAAACAGCCGCAGCTGACTTATCAGGTGCAAAAACCATCAGCCGATCAGTGATCCCAATCCATCATATGCTGGAAGCACGCCCAAATGGACCAGCACAAGGCGTGTTCCAAATGCACGGTTGGGTTAGTTGGTTTCATTACCATAGGCTCACTAGAACATATAGGCGGCCCCAGTACCTTGATATAATAGTGCATGGAGGAGTTGGAGCATGCCAAAAAAAAAAGTTTTATCAGCTTATATTACTACAATGTATATGTTGGAGACGGAGCTAGAACCGGCCCAAGCTCCACCACATGGGCCCTCGAATGTCCTGCACTGCAAACAAGTACAGCACCTGACAAAAACATTTTGCTCAAAAAAAAAAAAACGGACAAAAACATTCATTCAGGGACAAAACCAAGAGAGGCAGGTTTACAAAACTCGTTACACAAGGGTTAAATTTGCCATATGTTTGGTGAAATAATTGGCATCATGGATTTCATTTCAAAAATCTTGTTTCAAGCGGCGAAAAGCTTAGCCAAAACTGAGGGAGCGAAACCATAACACTACAAGCTCACTGGTACAAACCACTGGTGACGGATAATCATCGCTCTTCAGCCCCTGTTACTGAACTGAATACGCGACTTTGACAGGCCTACCCTGCAGTTCAGACTGATTCATTCCTACGGCTTTCTCGAGCGACTCGTCGTCTTGAAAATCGATATGACAGAAGCCACGAGAACCTCCAGTTCTTTTGTCAATGGCGAACCTTACTGATGCAATCTTCGACGATCTGAAGAAACCTCGCAAGTCCTTTTCAGTGACATTCCATGAGAGATTGCCAACATATGCCGAGAGGCAGCCTTCGGACTTCTTGGGATCGGTTTGGAACTCTGCCTTCCTTTTCTTATTTGAGGTAGCCGTCACTCTGCACCTTTCAACCCTCATATATCTGCTGCCACTGTACATGTAATATATATACCAGAGTATATCAGTGAAAAACTATTTAGGCCAGTGTGCAAGAGGAATCGATATATGCATGCTAGAAAGCTTACATTTTGAATCCATCAAGCTCAAGAGACTTTATTGCATCTTCTTCTGACTGCAATGATAGAATCAAATAAAATCAGATTTGTCAAAGATAACAAGAAATAGCAGACATTGCAAGATCCAACTTTGCAAGTTTCTTCAGCTTTGAACTCTTTTTATAGATACTAACCAAATTCATCTCCCATGACCAGTAATAAACAGACAAAACTAAGTATCTTCACAGATGGAAAATATGATAACAGAGGTTCTGGAATTAAAAGCTTTGCATCCTTCCAATTCAGGCATCACATACATAGATCTATGCTGCACAGAAACTCAAGGAATACAATAGAGGACCACTGGATCAGGAACTAACAAAACCAAAGATAAGAGCAGAGCAGCATCCTAGTCGATCATGGCAGCATAGCAATTCAACAGCATCCATCAAGCGTCACACCATTTCTCGTCTCTATGGCAACTTCAACAAATTCTTACTCTATCACCACCGAATTACTACTTCAGCATCAAGAAGAAAGCAGTACTACGATGCCTACAGAAGGAAGTGTGGTGGGTATGGAGTATGGACCTCGAAGCAGATGAAGGCAAGGCCGCGGAAGTTGCCGGAGTCCGGGAAGCGAGAGAGCTGCACCGACTGGAGGGGCCCATAGAACTCGAACAGCTTCCGGATGTCCGCCTCGGTGGTCGTGTAGGGCAAGCCGCTCGCCACCACCTTGCCGGGCTCATAGCCCTCCGCCGCCGCAGCCGCCACCTCCTCCTCCGCCTTCTCCACCTGTACCGCCGCCTCAACTTCCCCCGCCGGGTGCTCTTGTTCCGGCTCCACCGACGGCTCCTCAGCGGCGGTGGCGGCGATAGGCTGGCCCCACTTGTCCCTCTTGGGCTTCTTCCGCTTCTTTGCCTTGTCGGGGCGGGGCTTGGTAGAAGGAGTCTGGTCCTCGGCCGCCATGGCTAAACCCTAGTCCTCTCGGCGGCTCGTCCTTGCGCCGCAGCCGCAACCCTGTCAGCCCTGCTTCGGTGCTTCCCCTACGGCTCCGACCTCTCTCTCTCTCTGAAGGAAGAACGACAGGTGATCGAGAAGACCAGGCTCGGCCCGTTCGCGCTCGCCAGCCCAGTTTCAGAATCTCCGGCCCAGAATGGAGTCTATATAGTGAGTGGTGAGAGAGAGACAGACAGACAATTATACTTCTCTTCTCCCTCGAGTTTCCGGTCTTCTCCCCCGAGTTTCCGGTTGCGGAGACTGTTTCCAATAACGCGACCTATCCCTAAAAATACGTCATGCACAGTGTTTTGGGTACCCAAAACCTCTTCCAACGGAAGACCAAAACCAGGTACCCATTCTGCGTACTCGCCGAGTCGGAAGGCAATTCTGGGTCTTCGAAGAGAGACGGCGCAAACATGTAGTGGTGGGCCCGTAGGCGTCGTCAGGGCAGGGCATGGCCAGCTCGACTCGGCGAGGCGGGTCCGCGGCGGAGCATGGCCAGCGGGGCGAGGCGGGCTCGAGGTGAGGAGCGCCCGGAGCGGCGCGGCGTGGCGAGGCGGATCCGGGGAGGAGTGGAGTGGAGGAGGCGGGCCGTCGCGGGAGGAGGTGACGAAGGAGAGAGCGTCGGGGGTCCGCCGCCGGGCGCGAGCTCGGGGGAGCCGCCGCCACGCGCGAGCTTGGGGAGCCGCCGTCGCTTGGATCCGGGGGGGGCACCGCCGCGCGCGCCTGGATCTCGCCGGCCGCGGGTCAAGAGCTCGCCGGCAGGGCCTCTGCTCGGCGGGGAGGGAGGGAGAGGCTCGGCACTTGGCCGGGAAGGAGGCGGGCGGGCGGCGGCGCATGCAAGGAAGCGCGGGATCTGCAGCCGACGGCGGGATTTGGGGTTGCTGCCTCTGGGCCTCTGTTGGAGAGGTGAAGATATGGGTAGGTAACTCTTTTACTGTGTGTTACCTAAACTGTGAAATGGGTATGAGGTTTGGGTTCACGCTATTGGAGTCAGTCTAAGGGCGGTCTTTATGGGACTTCATATACATGAAATAGGATGCTACGTTAGCAGAAATAGAGCTTTTGCATGTATAAGGAAGAGAGAGAAAGAAACGTTTCATGGGGAGGAAACAATTGAGCGGTGTATGTATCGAGGAAGAGAGAGAAGGAAACGTTTCGTGGGACGAAAGCCGTAACATTGAAAACCGGGTGAAACCTAGGCCCTGTTTAGATTCTAAAATTTTTTACCCCAAAGTGTCACATCGAATCTTGCAGCACATGCATGGAGTACTAAATGTAGACGAAAAAAAACTAATTGCACAGTTGGGTGAGAAATCGCGAGACGAAACTTTCGAACCTAATTAGTCCATAATTAGACACTAATTACCTAATACAAACGAAAATGCTACAGTAGCCAAACAGTAGCCAAACCCAAAAAAATTGGAAACTAAACGTGCCCCCACTCACAAACTTCGTTCGTTTCATCCCGGGCTCCTCCGCCGGCCACGGGTTTCTCCGCCGTGGGCGCGGCTCCTCCGTCGCGCGCGAGCTCCTCCGCCGGCCGCGGGCGCGGCCGCCGAGCGCAGGTTCCTCCGCCGCGCACGCGAGCTCCTCCGCCGGCCGCGGGCTCCTCTGCTTAGGGCGCGAGCTCCTCCGCCGGCCGCGGGTGCGGGCTCCTCCGTCGGCTGCGGGCGCGGCTCCTCCGCCGGGCGCGGGCGTGACCTCTGCGGTGGGACCCATAAAAGACTAAAATAAATCTTGCATTAAGACTGGTCTAACAAACCCACAACTAGGGTTTGGTGCTGGTGCCTCCTTTAAACACATAAAAAACTAGAGAAAAATTATTTGCAATCTTAACTTCTCAAACCCCTGCCCCACCCGTCGAACCTAGAATTTGAGAAGTGCTACTCAAGTCAACTGACCAATTCAGCTAGAGGCTAATTCGCCAACTCGACCTATTATACTATGTAAACAGATAAATTATTGGTATTTCTAATACTTGTTTGATGCACCGTGGAACATATAATTGGGTGGTAAACAATCCGTCTCACAGTTCGTCATGCCTGTTGTTTGTTCGTCGCACTGAAAACTTAACACCGATTCTTCACGATTCAAAGCTGACAGAGCACTCTACACATGAGCCTAAGGCACTGGAGTAAAGATGCTTCGTTTTTTTTATAATAAGGTTTTGTTCTAAAAAAGAGCAAATTTTGCGGCGCCTACCAAGATGAATAAAATTCAATCAAAACCGTTCTGTGTACCCGCTGCGAAGAAAAGTAGTATCAATTTACGACGACTATGAAGAAAAAGTGAAACTGCTAGAGGTGTTGAGATTTCGAGAGATGCCACCACGGCTGGTACGGGAGAAAGGTATTCAACGGGGTTTGCAGTCACAGTGAAGTATAACATACTAAGGATCTTGACGAGTGCTCATTCCATGGATGACGTTTTCACTTTTGGGATGAGCCGGAGCATCGAAGATCCTGCCCTGCCCTGTTCGCTTGGCTGATAAGCTATGGCTGAAAGTATTGTTGACTGATCTGTTGCGAGAGAAAAATATTATTCGTTGACTGAAAAAATACGACTTATAAACCAAACAAACATGGTGTTAAATAGAGTATTCTGATTTGATGTCCATTGCGTGCACCATTAGTCCGAGATCGTTCAGATGTGTAGCTGTGTGATGCCTTCCGCCCGTGATAGGAGCATTACACTAGCATGGACTATTGTCGTGGACACAAAGCTAGATCTTCTAGTTTTGGAAGTTGAGCTTGATTAACTCAAAGGAAACAAAGAAGAAACATGCAGCGCTAGACACCCTGCGATCAAGTTGTCTCCGTCGGATCCTACTGAGCTCAGCAAGTTTACTCTCATTGGTTGGCCGTCACAGAGGTGCAGGTCTTTGGCCCCAGGACAGGTCTCTCACAATGTTTGGACATATGACGCCACCAACAGCCTCAACAATAAAGACTACACTATGAAGTTTTTGGAGATTCATGGGATGGTGGCAACCAATGGATTTTCTGGAGACAAGATTATAAACGATCAATCTGATTGCGCTGGTCTGTACCATGGTGTATTCAATGGCATGATGGGTTACTGCGTCCGTCGTCAAGATTTGAAGTCATTTCTTGCTAAACACAAAGTGATAAGTACTACCTTAAAACATGTCACTAAAGGTTCTTTAAAACTTCTGCTAACTTATTTTCTATTTCTTTCAGTTTACTTTCTCGGACAAAACTGAGGAGGCAGGTGGGGATAAGAACGCAGCCAAGAAAGCAAGAAGGTGATGTGAAGTTGCAAGGGGATGTACGAGAAAAAACCGAGAATTTCAAAAGGCTGGTGGCATGAGTTGTAGCAACGGGCGAGTGGAGATGTTTTGCCTCTGTCACTATCTTCTGTAGTCCTTAAATGTCTGGTTGCTCATGGGAGCACGAACTCGAATGTTGATGCTCATAGATTAGCCATGAGCTCGATTTATGAGCATAGCTAAGAGTGATGGCAGTGTTAACTTGGGCTCGATTTATATAATGTTCAAATTCGGCGAAGAGCAAGTATAATAAAAGGTAGTAGGTGGATTGTCTGCTGACGTGGAGGAGAGAGGGAAGGAAAGAGGAGAGAAGTGGGTTGTAAACTTACAGCCAGCTTATGCACAAGAACCAAGAAGTTCTATGAGACAGACAAGCGTACTGTAAGCCGGCTAACAATTATATAAGTGAGCTGATAGATTGGCTGTAAGTTTCCATACAACCAGCAGCCAGTTGTACTATTAGCCTCGCTCTAAGAGAGTCTCATCAGTTGACTACTGAGCACTTTGAGTTGAGCTGCATTAAACTTTGTTCACTTTTTCTAGTTTTCTTGGTTCATAATCAAAGCACTAGTCATCATAAGAACACCATGCAATGCAGAACACATTCAGCTGATCGCCTTCCAGTCCAGCAGCTCGATCGCTTCCTCCTGTCCTCCACCTGGAAGTGGAAGGCCACAGGCCACAGCCATGGCTTCTCTCTGGACGTCCACCACCACCATCACTGCCTTCCTACTCATACTCTTCATCCATTCCGGGCACTCTCCGGCCGCTGCATTCTACCTCCCGGGCAGCTATCCTCAGCGGTACCGCCCCGGCGACACCCTTGCCCCCAAGGTGAACTCCCTGACCTCGCCGTCCTCCAAGCTCCCCTACCCCTACTACTCCCTTCCCTTCTGCGCCCCGCAACACGGCGCCCGGCACGCCGCCGAGAGCCTCGGAGAGCTCCTCCTCGGCGACCGCATCGAGACGTCGCCGTACCGTTTCTCCATGCTCAACAACACCGCCACGCCCTTGTTCCTCTGCCGCACCGACCCGCTGTCCCCCGGCACCGCCGAGCTCATCAAGTCCCGCATCGATGACGCCTACCAGGTCAACCTCCTCCTCGACACCCTCCCTGTCATGCGCTACGTGAAGAACCCGGTCGCTCCCGACGTGCTCCTCCGGTCCACCGGCTTCCCAGTCGGTGTTCGCGCCGACGACGGCGAGTACTACGTGTACAACCACATAAAGCTCACCGTGCTGGTGAACAAGCAGAACACCACCACCAGGGCGGAGACCTTGATGGCGACCGCCGACGGGGCCGATCTGCTCAGCTTCACCGGCGGCAAGGAGGGCAGCGGCTACACGGTCGTCGGGTTCGAGGTCGTCCCGTGCAGCGTGGAGCACGACGCGGCGGCTGTCAAGAACAAGACCATGTACGACGAGATCACGTCCAAGGCAGCCGCCGGCTGCGAGCCGTCGGTGGTGAGCATGCGCGTGCAGGACAACAGGCCGCTGGTCTTCTCCTACGAGGTGGCCTTCGTGGAGAGCGGCATCGAGTGGCCGTCGCGCTGGGACGCGTACCTCGAGATGGGCGGTGCCAAGGTGCACTGGTTCTCCATCCTCAACTCCATCGTGGTGGTCTCGTTCCTGGCCGCGATCGTGCTCGTCATCCTGCTTCGCACCGTGCGGCGCG